CCTGGGGTCCAGCTGCAGGTCACACAGGAGGGCACGAGGGGGGATGTGAACCAAGAAATAATAACGGGAAAAGGAGTCCACACCTGTGACTACTCAGCTCCACGCACACAATTCACACACACTTGAACAACCATACAACACAATTGTATGTTTTTTACTACCAAGAGAAAGCTCCCTTTATACATCACCAAAACAGTGCCAATCTTTGTATCTGTATTTCTTATTTCTCAAGTACAGTCACAATTCAATTGTTCATCTGTTACCCAAAAAAAACATCATCAACATAAGGTATTCTTCAGTATCTGGATTCCTCAGCACAAGCTCAAGTTGGAAAAACTCCAGTTAATTTAGGACACAAATTCATAGCTCATCCCCTTCCTTGTCCAAACAGTATGGAAAACCCTTGAAATAGTTTCTTTATGAAAGAAAAATTATCTCCCATGGTAACATTCTTCCTAGCCCAAACAGGTTTAAGTCAGTCAATTTTAGCATTTGTGGCCTCAGCACAAGCCTGTTCTGACTTTTCTCACAGCCACGGCAGTAAATGGGTCATGGGAGAGTCCACACATTTGACTACTCAGCCCCATACTCACAATGTATACACTGCTTATTTTTAAACATCAAGAGAAGATTCCTTTACAGGTGAAGAAGTGCTCACCTTTCACCAAAATGAGGGGACAGACAGCCGCAATTTTTGTATCTAACATGCTATATTAGGTATTTTTCAAAATTGCTCACAATACCTTTATCAATCCTGTTACCCAAAACTATATTATACACATAAACTACATCAACTTGTATAAAAGCACAAAGGAAGATGAAAAATGAACACAATGGGTAATAAATACAAATCAACACACACAACAAGAGAAATTGTTAAAACTATTACAATCTCTTTACAGTCACACACCGTCATGATGTCTAACTCCTCCCCACTCCCCCTTCTCTGCTGCAGGGGCCTTTTTGCCCCAGCCAGGTAAGACACTGGCAAGCAGCTAAGAAAAGGGCCTTACACTGTGGGGCGGCAGTTTAAAGGGCCTCACTCCGCGGGGCTGAAGATTTCTTGTGCCTCACACTGTGAGGCTGAAGATTATACATCCCTTTGTTTTTTGTTCTTGGTCATAATAGAAATAAATTCTCGAAATATACATTGGGACACAAATATACATTGTATAAACATGTTTATACAATATATAAGAATAATTATAAGAATATTGGAAGTACATGGCATGGAAAATTACTTGCTTAAAAGTTAAACACTGAAAAAAGTTAAACACTGAATAACTTGGCCTACTTGACAGTGGAAAATAATTATTATGCAAGGGCATGTCTGATAAGCAACCCAGAGCTGGTCATAATAATATTCCTTACATGGAGGTTTCGTAGAGAAGCCTTGCAATGAATCATGAAGTTGATTATGCAAGTAGTTTCTGAGTAATAGAAACAAGTTCTAATAACTGATTACCAGGAAGCAACTGGTCTCTAGCTTTAAGTCATATAGATAGAGGAGTCTCCTGATATTGTAGTCTTGGTGACAGGGCGGTACCAAGGACTGTTAGCTGACCTAGGTAGTTGTTTAGGCTGAAATAATAAGTCTAAATTTTAATTATCTATAACTTTTAAGGTTATTTCTTTTCTCAAAAACAGGTAGGCGTCAAAATGTCTATGGGAAAGGAATGTATTGATTGTTTTGTTTTGCTTCTATGCATTTCATGATGTAATCCTGTCCCTGCTTTAAACATATAAATAAAGACCCGCTGAGACCCTCAGCAGGAGATGCTTTCACCAATATAAGAGTGTCTGTGTCTGCCTCAACTCCCCTTTCCTTTCCCTTCCCATCATCCCTTAAGAAAGTTTTGCCTAGGCCATCTCATCCTTTCAGGGACACCTGACCCAACTTTTTGCCAAAAGCTGGTCTTCAGCACTTCTCTGTATTCTCCTCCCACCAGAACCACATCATTGTCCCCTGGGGGAGGGATCACTCCTTCCTCCCTGCAGGTCTGGTGCTCAGGATCTTGCTTCCTCTGGCATCTGTGGTTCCCATGACCTTTTGCCACAGGGTGTGGAAGGACCAAGTCAGCAAGTCCTTTTTCCCCTAATAACTGGAGTTCGGGTCCCAGCTCCCCAAGTCACCCCAAATCTGAGTCTCTACTTCATTGACATCTTAATTCAGGGGGCTGTTCTCTCCTTCCCAAATGGTGTTGACACAAAAGAGGAACCAGATCCTTTTCCTGATGTCACCAAATTAACACACATATTCATCACTGGTCATAGAAATTCATCAGCTTTGATGAAATTAAGTGTATTTCATCCATTCCAGAGCAGGAAGCAGATAACAGAATATTAGGCTCCTCTAAATGTACATCCTCTGCCATTTCCCCAAATATTTTGGAGGCCGAAGTTTTCTGGTCAGATAGTCCAGGCCCCTAAAATTAGATCTGGGAATCCTCCATCAGTCTCTGGGTTCCTCCACACAAAGTCAAGTTGGATAAAGTAAACTCCAATTAATGTAAGAGAATCATTCAGAGCTCATCCCCTTTCTTGTCCTAATGATAGGGGGAAAAGGATGTCCCTAAAGCGCGCTGGTGAGGACCCACAGCCAGGCAACCCATTTTATATCGGGGCTGCTCTGTAACACTAACAACATAAAATCCCTTGTAAATATTTTCTTTGCCAGATGACAAATGATTTCCCATGGAAAAATTCATCCTACCCTTAAACAAGTTCAAAGTTATATCTCAGCACAAGGCCTGACTGCTGCGAGCCAGCCTTAACAGCCTGGGTATCAGGGGTTCCTGAAGGATGGGAAGGTGTCAGCTCAACTGTAGAGAATGAGGGGGGAGGAGGAATTGAGGAGAAGCAGACAATTGGTCAGGGTGCAGGCATCATCCTGCTGAAGAGTCTCAGCAGCCCTTTATTTATACATTTCAAGCAAACTGTGAGAGTGCATAAGCATATGCATTAAGGCAGGAAGATAACAATCATCACATCTTTCTCAAGAGCAGCCAAGGGTCTATTTGCCCACCTGCAGAGGTCCTGACATTTGTTATTTTTTTGATTTAAAGAAGGCACAGTTGCTAAAAGAAAGTGTTCTTAGAATAGTCATTTACCTTAAACAACCAAACAGTTCTTTTATTACTAGCAAAAAGCTTATGCGACTGCAACTAACATTTCTATGTTTGCCATGGTGAAGGGTTAACCAAGGGCTAGGGGAAACAAAGGGCAGGAAGTTACCTGGGGGATGGGAGACAAAAGGATTATTTCTAACTAACCTATAAAGTTTAGACTAACATATAACCAAAAGAGTAAAGCAAAAAACAGGAGGCTTTTATATAGAAATCATCATCTATAGTATATTGTTTTAATATTGATTTGATATTAAGGAATCAAGGGCCTGGAGGGCATTAATGCTAGGCAAGCCACACTGACTCTTCCCTAGCCCCCAGCTCTCAATTAAGGGAGGAATTCTCCTAAGCTAACAAAAGGGTTTTCTACCTATTACTTCTCAACTTATCTAGTCAGCCTAGTTTCTGTATCTAACTTTAACATCAAGGGAAAATTCCTTTCTCTATAAGATTGCTGATTGTTGTTTTAAGAAACTACAAATATTTCATCAGAGGCAGGGCCAGAGATGGTTATAGCTTTTGGTTCTCAGAATGGTTAATACGTGACATACCAGTAGTTGTAATGCTGACTATTTCCAAGTGCATTATTTGTGCTGCCATGGTTATTAGCTCGACCAGTCACAAAATTGCTGTTGACTTACTCTTGAATGCATACTCTAACAGCTACCATACCAGTTGTCACCTCCAGGGGAATCAGCCCTAATCAAACAGAAAGAATTTAGCAGAAGCAGGCTACGGAGCCTCCTGGCATATGAGGAATTTTCTTACACTTGGAGCATAGCTTGCTTCTGCCACCCAACTGCTATCTTTAACTTTAAAGTAAAAGAATTTCCTTCTCCAATTATCCCTTGCCTCAAAAGACCACATATCCATATTATAGACTTGGCCAAGGGATATTTACAGCCTTTTGTTCCCAGAAGATTTTTTACTTGTTAATGTAAGGCCGAATGTTGAATTACTGCCTTTTGGCAGAGAATAACTAATTTTACAAAAAATGTAATATTTGTACCATGTAGTGCCATTTGCCATTGATACCGGAATTGTCAGGCCTAGTCTCCCAGCCAGGAACGGATCCCAGGCTGCAGGGCAGCGCTGAGCCCCAGCCACTAGACCCCACGGGTTGGTGTCTCACGAAGCCGCAGCAGGAACTTCGCAGACGCACAGGCAAGCAAGCAAGAAGAGGCAGGTTTATTTAGAGAAAGAAAACGTTTATTCAGAAGAAAAAGAACAGAAATAAAGTGGGACTCCCAGGCCATGATATCAGGGCAGGGAGGGGCAAGGAAGCCAAAGTGGAGTCGTGTCTCAGGGAATATAGACCTTCTTTCCCTCATTATTCTAAAGCTCCACCAGTCTCTTTGTGATTGGTTAGTTCTCGGCTGTCTCATTTAATCTTGGTACTGAGTGGGGGATCTTCACATTCCTTATCTAACAGCTTTCTCTTTCCCCATTTGTTGGATCTTTATCTTTATGGCCCAGTCTTCTGGATGGGCATCCCTGCATTGAAGTTAAACAGCTGCCCTTCTAATTTGTCCATAAATTAAACCACTCTCCATTTCCCCAATCTCTACCTCCCTTTATCACCTGAAGGAAACCAAGGCCAGTGTTAACAATGTTGTCCTTGGTCCTGAGATGTTTGTTTTTCCAGGTGGAATTAGTTACATTCCTCTGGTTGTCCTTATTTCTGAAGCCTTCCTAAATTCTTCAGAGGTCCCCTCCTGCACTGTCCCTAAAACTGCCTAATTACCCTAGCTTGCCCTGTGTCTCACCATCAAATTGGTTATTTAGTAATTGATCAAACATCATTTTCAGTTTTACTTTTTAAATGTGTACTTTAGCAATGGTAGAAATTAGCCATAAACAAATGAGGATAATCTTGGAGTTAGCTAACGAGATTCCTGATTTTTCAGAAATCTGCCCCATGCCCGGACTTCTGTCAGATGACATGAGTAGCATGGCTCCCCATATCAGGGGAGGAGGGGGGCTTCAGGCCCTGGGGGAGCCCCATCCATGCCAGAGCCTGAGGGGATCCCCTCCCTTAGGGGATTCACAGGTTCCTCCAGCGAAGGAGGATTGTTCATGAGCCCAGAGGGCTTCTGGAGCCCAGCATCCAGGGGGCAGAGGGTCAGGGACACTTCTTCTGTATAAAAGAGAAAGTATGGAAAGAGGGTCCCGGAGAAGGACTCAGGAGGGAAGGAGAAGATGTGGCAGCCATCAGTCATGTCATAGAAGGAGATGTCCCCTTGATCATAGTCCAGGAATACCCCCACCCTGTGGGGACAGTCCCTAAGGGATAGTGGAGTAGGAGGGTCAGTAAGGGCTTGGGAATTACCTTCGAACAGGGAAAAAACCCAGAACCCATCCAGGGGGGTCGGAAAATTGCATCTCGTTTTCTCATCTTTCCTCCAGACCCCCAATCCCAACTCAATTCTGCCTTCTTTCCTGAACTCTACCTCCCAGTAACAGCGCCCTGATGTGATGCCCTCAAGACCCAAAACACTGCATAATCCTCCCATTCCATCCTGATGAAAAGTCAGACTCTTCTTGTCATGAGAGAGGACAATTTTATCATCGTGAGAATCTGGATCCAGAGTAACAGGCCCTGCAGAGAGAGAACCCATATGCCAGCCTGACATAAAAAGGTCACACACCTCCTCACCCCAGATACTCAGCTTTATGGGGAGAGGGATATGTTCCCTGAAATGAGAGCCTGGTGACCCAAGCCCACAGCCCCCAAGCAAGAGAAGGAACCATAAGATTATTGGGGATCAAATACGTCACAGGATCCCTGGGGACCCACCAGGACCCCTAGGACTAAGAAGCCCCTTCAGCACCCATGACCAGTTACCCCCAGACCAGCTGTGACATCATAGCTACACCCACCCCACCCCCACGGAGGGTGCAGAGTCTGTGTCCACACATAGAACAGAAGGAAAGGCCAGAAGCTGAGCAGCCCCAGAGAGAAAAGAGTCACTCACAGGCCCGGAACTTTTCCTTCCGCCAATCTGCAAGAGACACACATGTCATGTGAGGGACTCTAGATACTCACAACCAGGGCCTGTGCCTAGTTTTCTACTAAAAAGTGATACAGAGTTCACAGAGGAAAATATCTGGAAACATTTAGTGGATGCATTTAACTTTTAGATTTATACACACGCACACACACACACACACACACACAGTTGTTACGCTGCCAATTTCCCGTGATTTAAGACAAAAAGTTTAATACTCAGGGGTGAGAGGCTGCACACCAACTTAACAGAAGGGTCTTTACCTAGATAGGACCATCAAATTACACTTTTCAAGTCACCAGCCACAGGCCCATCCTGGAAACGAGGTTTTCTTGAATAGGTTCTATGGAGATGAAACGCCCAGGACTGCGTGTGCTTGTGAAGAACTAACAGACCTGGCCATGCTGCATCTCTCTGAGCCACGGGACTTAGAGCTATAACCAGCCCAGGCCTGTGGGCAGCCCAATGCTCCTGCCTCCTGGGGCAGCAAAGACCTGAGGAAGCCTGGCGACGTGGGGGCTGGTGGGCAGAGTTTTCCCCTTTGCTTTTTTTTTTTTTTAATAGAGGCATGTTTTATTTATTTATTTATTTGTTTGTTTGTTGTTTGTTTGTTTCTTTTTTTGTTTATAAATGCACTGGGTACAGTCAGAAGCGCGGGAGAGTGAGAGAATTCACCAGAGCCAGAGCGGGGAGCAGAGCAGGCAGAAGGACCGAAGTACACTGCTGAGGGGTGCAGCGGGCGGCAGGAGAGGTCTGAGCACCATGTGGGACCCTCCTCCGGTGGCCGGGGAGCAGCCAGGGATCGAACTGGTGCCGCATAGGTCACGGGCAGCTTCGCAACCCAGCGCTCAACCGCTGCGCCACCGGGGAGGCCCTCCCCATTGCTTTTGAATAAATCTGTTTGTCAAACAAGGGGAGAGAGATGGGCAGAGAGAAAGAGAGAATGACACAATGGGGCTGAGCTGCAGGTGGGGGTGACTGTGCCATGAGTGAGGAGACTCAAGGACACTCAGCAGAGGGCCCTGCCCACTCAGGAGTGGGTGGAGAGGGCTCTAGGAGGAGAGAGACATGCAGAGTAGGGACATGGACACACACTGAGAGGATCAAACACTAGTGACAACTTTCCTCATTTTCATGTGCATGTGTGGTGGAAACAAAACCATCCCTGTAGACAGAGAAGAACACAAACCATTGGATTGACACAACTGTTTCCTTCAAGATGAGCCAAGAAAGAGGGAAGCTTCAAAGTAAAACCTCTCTGTATAAGCAGAATAATGACTTCAAAGGTATCCATGTCCTCATCCCATGAACCTGTAAAAGTGTGTCCTTGACAGAAGAAAGAGAAACCTGCATGTGGGACAGACATGGGACCTGGAAACAGGGATGTTACTGAGTATCATCAGGGGGAACCAATCATATGAGCCTTAACAGCCATGACCCCGCACCTGTGCTCAGAGACAGTCACATGGTGATGGCAGCAGGCCCATAAAGAAGCTGCACGGCAGGCTGTGTAGACAGAGGACGAGGGTCCCCAGTCAATGCAGGGGGCCTGAGACCCTGGGAGAGGAAGGGGCTCCTGAAAGGAAGGAGCTGCCAGACCCTGGAGTTAGTCCCAGGACGCGGTCTCAGGTGTCTGCCCTTCAGGTGTGTGAGATGATAAACTGTGTGGGTGACGCTGCTCCAGGGTATGGTGATGTGTGTCAGCAGCAGCTCCAGCTCTGGGGCTCAGAGCTGGAGCTCTGAGCAGGGCCTGGCAGGGGAGGTCTGGAGGGAGCACCAGGACCCCATGCGGGGGCTCCCCCATGAGATGAGGTTCCAGGAGTGTCACCTGCTCTGGGAATAGAAAGAGGGAGAGAGAGGTACCTGGAGAGCAGGGAGGGAAGGAAGGGCAGGTGAGGAGAGTAGGACAAGGATGTGGGACAGGAGGAAGGAGCCAGAAGGTTTGTTAATTTGCTGACCAGAGATAGACCCAGACCCTGACTCTGCTGGAGAGGGAGGGTCACCCACAAGTCCTAATGATCAGATGGGATGTGCCCTGCCCCCCTCAGCATGTGCCACACAGGTTCATAGACCAGAGACCCCTGAAATGAATGAAAGGGGAGCACAGGACCCTCCCATACAGCACCCCAAGGCCATGTCATCCCCACCCCACACCTGCCCGGGCAGGAGGAAGCAGGTCATTCCCCAATACTCAGGTCAGACACAGCAAGACTCTGAGGCCATTAGGGGAGAGCCTGAGTTTCCCAACTATGTGAGGAGAGAGGGGGAGAGAGGAGAATCCAGGATCCACATTTATAGGAATAAGGAACATCTTCTTGTGCACATGGTGTATAAATGTGTGACACCAACCATACCTGCACAAGTTCACTCAGAGTGTAACAGTGTGGTCCCCAGGAAAAAGGGAGATTCCAGGTTTCCTGTCCCACACTTCTACCTGCTGAGCAGGTAGAAGAAGCTGTAGAGGAGACTGCAAAGGAAGGAATCAGGATGGAGAACCAGAAAGAGACCTGGAGGATTCACATGGAGCAGAGAGACACCTGAAAAAGCTGCACTTCCCTTTTGGTCATGGACTGGGTGACACAGATATGGGTGAGACTCATGACAATGGCACTTTTCATCCTGATTTTGATTTTGCTCTTTTCCTCCCAGACTTGTCTGGTTGTTTCTGATCCTTCTCTAAGAAAAGGATCAGATAAGAAACAAGATCACAGATCTTGATAAGAAACAAGATCAGGGCCTCCCTGGTGGTGCAAGGGTTTAAGCACCACACTATGAAGCAATCTGCTGCCTCTGCAGCATGAGTTTGATCCCCAGCCAGGGAGCTACCCACATGGTGCAGCAGACCTCTCCTGTCTTTCCCACTGCTCCCCTCAGGAGTGTATTTCAGTCAAACTGCCTGTTCTGTTCCCACTCTGTCTCTGGTGAATCCTCTCATCACCGCCCAACCCCCGCCCCAGCATCTCTGGCCTGTACCTCAGCTCTTGTATGCATAAATAAATAAATCTTTAAAAAAAAGAAAAGAAATGAACCAAGATCACATGCAATGACTGGGTGGCATATATGTGACCTCTTTGTAAAAAAGAGAGATTTTAAATTTACTTGTTTTTGCTGAGACATTAGTTGACATCCAGCTCTAATGCTCTACTCCATGCTTCTTCATACAACAATAAAAAAAAAAGAGGGCGTGGAGGAGAACAGGAACAGGAGCAGTAGGAACAAAAAGAGAAAATCAAAGTGGCATTTAATGTGAGACACAACATGCCCAGGACTGTGTGCACTGACTGCACTTGTCAGTTAATTTTTGTAGCAAAACTTAAAGTGAAAAATTTTTGTTAAATTTTACAAATCATACAAGATCACACATGTATCCATCTGTGATTCTGTCAATATCAAAATGTTGATTCTAGTGTATTAATGTGTTTCATTCAAACACATCATTCTTTTTGCATGCCAAAGGAAAGGTTATGTTAAAATGCATGAGACATGAACTCAGCAGAGGCTGGAATGATGGTGAAGACAACTCTGTGATCCTCACTGTGTGGAAATGAGCCCCCAGGAGTATCAGGGGGACTCTCAGGAGGATGCTCATACTCCTGGTCCCAGGCCCCTCCCCTACAGACCCTTCTCTGTGGCTCAAGGTCTGTGTCCAGGACCATAAACAAACCCCTAACCAGGGAAAGGGCGTGTGACTCAGGCTCAGGAGGCACAGATCGCCCCTCACCAGCATCTCTGACCTTCCCTGCAGGACCTATGCAGACCCTGCTCTGGAGGCATTGGGGTGGATCATGTGAGGGACACTGCAATTAGACGGTCACCTTAATAATGGTTTTCAAAGTGTAACTTTATCTGAAGTACTTCAAAAGACCCACTGTGCTTCATTCCCAAGCCTTTCACAGCGTCCGCACATAACAAATTCAAACTGGTGACTGTGCCCAAAACCTCTAGTAGGCTCTTGTCCCACTCACCCCTCTCCTTCCTTCCTCATTCTATCTCCATCCAGACTTTTGTTTCAAATTTCACCCCTGTTCTTTGGAAATGGATTATAACCATTTTAGGTTTGTTCTTTTCCAGTCTACATAGTTGCCTCTTAAAAAAAAAACAACCTAAATAATAGCAACCATGAGACTGTCAGACAGAATTCTCCTTAAAAAGATTATGGCTCTGAAAATCATACATTGTTTATCTTGTTATAAAGACACCTAAAGTACACAAACACAAACACACAAACTAGATCCTACAGTAATTTCAGAACCTTCACAAGCCCCTGCCCAAGAATCATAAACACCCCAGTAGCTCTGACCCAGACTCAGAACACCAACCCTAAATAACTATTCCTCAGCACCCACAAGGATTAGAAGAAAAATTCAGCTTGGACATGAATCAGAGCATGCATGAGAAGACAGAGAATCAAGAGGAAACAGGAAACAAAAACTAGAACCAAAATAAGACTGGGATGTTGGATCCAGAAGGATCCATAACCAGGACCCCTTAGCAAGACCTGACTCCAAAGCAGGAAGTAGGATATCTGGAATTTTCCAAAGATCAGCAAATCATGAAGCACACACTTGTATCTGCTTCAGCCTCTCCTCACATTGACCCCCACTGTCCTCACCCACAGGAAGGACCAGGTGACAAGGGCTCAGAGGGTGCCCTACATTTCTCACATGGAGGCTCTAGAGTGAAGGAAGACCAGGGACTCCAGGTCCTTCCTGGTGGGGTCCCTGATAGAGATGGGGCAGATAGGACACTGGGAGGGAGTCCCAGGACCCTCAGGCCACTCACCTGCGTACAGCTGGGCCTTCCTCCAGGCTGAAAGGGAACACACAGGTGAGACCTCAGCATAACCAGCTGCTCATGTGACCCACAGGCCCTGGTCAATCTCTGTTCTGAAGGTGAGACTCTCTGGGGGGTGGAGGGGAGACGCTGAGAGGTCATGATGCCCTGCCCAGTGCAGACAGCAGGGGGTGGTGGGAAATCCCCTGGCTCAGGTCAGGAGCCTGCAGGACAGACTGACCCAGCCCTGCCTGCTGCTGCTGTGGGACTTTGGGCAAGTCACTGAGCGGCTCTGGGCCCCACAGCCTTCAAAGCTCCTGCTTCACCTGCTACTCAGTGTTGCTACACAGGATCAAAAACAGTATATGGGAAGATATTTTTAACATGCATGCTATTCCAAAATTATTACATTCAGTATTTCTTGGAAATTAATGGGAAGATGAAATGAAAACACAACATGGACATCACACAAGCTCCAAATGCAGTATTTCTAGTGATAAAAACTCTCTGGGAGAGGGAAAGTCCCCCCACTCCCTCCCATGCAAGGTCACCCCATCCTCTCCCAGCACCACTGATCAGCATCTTTAGGAGCAGAGAGAACAGACTTTCCTTGGGGTTGTTTGGGGAGAAAGGGCAGGAGGAGGTCACACTCCTAAACTTCAAGAGTCCATTTACTCATCAAATCCCAGAGCAGCTGCTTCACTTCCAGGTGCTGACCAAGAACCAGATGCATTGAGGACTAGAAAGCCAGCACCATGGTGGGAAAGTTAGGGCTGGAATGAGACCAGGATGCAGGAGAATCCAAGGGTCACCACCACACCAGGACCCCAAGAATGGGGGGAAAAGAGCACCCAGATCTCGGGAGCCCACGGAGCAGGGTCCTGCCTCCCACCAGCTCCCACTTTCCACCCAGGGAAGGGTCGACATGTCTGTGCTTAGACAGCCAAGGGGAGGGACCCCTGGGCACAGAGGGGACAGGGACCCAGGACCCCTGGAGCATCACTCACCAGCCAGGTAAGCTGCCTTCCTCTGGTCTGAAAGACAACAGAGGACACAGGTGAGCTAAGAACCAGAATGTTTCCCATGAAGGGGACACAGAGAGTTCAGGAGGGAGAACAGAGCTTACCTAGAGTTGCCTGGAGTTCATCTGAAAGAGAATTAAAAATATAAGCATTAATTGTTGCTAAGAACAAAATTTGTGCCTAGAGAAGACACAAAAATGAATCTCTCTGTGTCCTAGAATTTCCACCTTCAGACCAACATGAGCCTCCAAGATCCACTGTCCCCTCTGGGACAGAGCACCTGCTCTGATCTCCTTGCAGAGGGAACCTGGGCTCTGGCTCTGGTGTCAGCTTGTCCCTCTCAGCACCCACTACCACACTCACCAGCCTGGCCCCTGCCCTGCCTTACCTGTGTCCTTCAGGGCCTCCTCCTTGGTCTGTGTGTCCTCCTCCTTAGCCTGGCACAGATTCCCCTGTTCCTGCAGCTCCCGCATCTGTGTGGAATGTTCTCTCTGGGTGTAGCAGGCAGCCCCCAGGAGCAGGAGCAGCAGCAAGGTCAGGATCACCAGGAAAGCCGGCTTCCAGGGAGAGGCCCAGGGGAAGAAGGGCTCTGCAGACAGAGCCCCCCACAAACACCCCATCAGGACACAGCCCAGGACAGCCCAGCCCAGTACCCCTGGATGTGCTGGCCCCCTGCACCCGCAGGGAATGATGAAGAGGGCGATGCACTGACCTGGGATGATAATGGCCATGGCCTTCTCCTGATGCAGGATGGGGTTGAGGATAGAACAGGTCACGCTCCCCACAGAGCTGTCTCTCACCACCAGAGCAGACTCCACGCTGAACAGCCCCTCAGTGTCCTGGGCCTGGACCTTGGAGAACTCCAGGAACTGCTCCCCACGGGGGTCTCTCCACTGCACCTGGGGCTCCGGGAACCAGCCCGAAGTCATGCACACCGCCCGCACCCCGTCCTCCTTTGGCCCTGTGATGTGCACTTGGGGGGCAGAGCCCACACCTGTGGAGGGAAGATGAGAGCCAGGTGGGGCAGGTATAGGAGTAAGTTCAGTGGAGAGTAGTCAATTTCATGCCAGGTGAGCTGAAGTCCCCACCAGCCCATATGAATACAATTCCATTACTACAGGCCATTGAGAGATTTTTTTTTCTGTGGTTCTTTGTTACATAGCAGCTGTCCACAGTCACCAGACTCCGCGGACTCCATCGTCCTTTCTTCATCTGTTCTGAGGGGTTTTATAGAACCCTGTTAGATCAAATGATGACCCAGCTCAAATATCTATATCATATGGAGGTTTTTCTGATTACCTTTGGTGGCACTAATCAGCCACCCTTGATTCACATCTCTGCCATGTACTCACCACATTTTTTTATGACAGTATTGTCACCTCACAACACCCTGCTCCTCACTCTCTCCCACCAGCCATGAGGACTCCATGTGAGCAGATCACACACCAAACACACGCTCGCCCCAGGTCATTCACATGGGCTGTGACTCCATGTAGGAATTCCCTTCCCTGTAATGTACAACATGCCTGTAGCCAACATTCTCTGTGATGTGTGGAGAAGTTGATAAAGGACAAACTCCAAAGAATTTTTTTCACAATGAGGTAATTTTCACCTTTTTGCTTCTTTTTCTTTCTTTTTATAACCTATAATAGCAGACAGATGGTATTTAACCTATTGTGGCCATCACTTCACTGTATATATAAATCAGTCATTATTGGTATGCCTCACATTACATATGATACATATTAATTATCTGTCTATAAACTGAGGAGAAAGGAACACCCACACATCAGATATCTACTCAGCTGTATTCCCCCTTCCCTGGAGTCTTTGCTCCCATGGCACTAGCCTGAGCTGCTACTTATTACTGCAACCTTGCCTTAGCCCCAGCCCCACATTGCTGAGTCATCTCCCTGCTCCATTTAGCTTCCTGTCCTCACCACTTTTCACTTCCAAATGTCATTTATGCCCTGCTTATTGATTACGATTGCTCTCTCTCCCACTACAAATATAAACTCACAGAGTGAAAACTTTGCTTTTGTATCTAAGACTTTAGAACGGGACCAGACATGTAGCAGGTACCCTATATGTTTACATTTCATAAAACATGAATTAATAAGCCTTTTCTTACTCATAAATGATATGATAAACTAAAGTGAATTCCCTTTTTTTTCTCCCCAGTTCCAAAACTTCAGGACTCTGAGATATTTAACCATGTTACCAACCCGCCACCTGCAGCTCCAAGCTGGCTTGGTCACTGAAGACTCCGTTGATGAAGCTGCAGGTGTACAGCCCATTGTCAGACACCTGGACCTTGCGGATACGCACAGCAGCCTCCCCTTGCTGAGGAATTTCCGCACTAGTGAGGTCCGCCCTGCGTACTGGGCCATCAGCTCCTCATGTCGTTCCTGTCCGTCTTGATAGATGAACACTGACTCCAAGACATTGGACCGGAACCACCTCAACTCCATGTTCTCTGCACTCATTGCTGGGTCCAGGAAGCAGGGCAGTGTGGCGTCCTTGCCCAGCTCTGCCACAATAGGGTCTGGGGAGCCAAATACATGGAACCTCTCTGTGAACACAGATATGAGAGTTAGAAAGGGTAAGAGACACAGTTATCTCAGGGAACACACACCATCACTAGGGGAGGCCCTGGCAGGCTGAGGGAAGGTGTCTATGAACAGACAGCTGACATGAGGATTAACAGTGACAGTTCTGAATCTGGAAAGATCTCCCAACCGCACTTGTGTCCAACTACACTTGTGGTCCAGAAATAATGTCAAAGATGCTCCCTCATTCACTAGTGTATCTGATAGCAGGACCTTCCATCACAAACTCTAGCTCCATGGTTCTCATTTTCAGCATCACAATCTCCAGGAGGGCTTGAAATAGTAAAATGTGGGGACCCTACCCCAGGTCTGATGCAGCCGATTGGGATGACACAAGAACGCACATTTCCAAAGAGTTTTTGGGGGACTAAGAAGGTGTCTGGGGAAATCAGTTTCATTGCACAGAGGATCATTAATGTGAATGAGTGGACAGGGCACCCAGATAACACCAGGCTTGTGACAAAACTGGATGCTCTTACATAGCAGTCACCAGGCAGACAGCAACAAAAGGGACACAGAGGAGAGTCATGCTTCACTGACCAAGAGTTAGGCAGAGAAGACACCTGGAGGCTGTGGTCAGGGTGGGGGAGGCTGCAGCACATGCTGTGGTGGTCACTCAACCAGGCATGTGACCCTGGGCAGGGAGAGCTGAGAGTGAGGGCCCTCCAAGCTAACAAGGTCCCCAGTGAAGCAACAGGAGACAGTGCTGGAAGCACTCTCACTCCCTCCTCAGAACTGGCCCTGCCCTCCTGAAGCTCAGAGACAGTGTGCACAGGGAGAGTCTCAGGGCTAAACTGAGAGAGGCGGGTGTCAGAGGTGCCACAAACATGAGCTCACACGCCCGAGCCAGAGCACCCGCATCAGAGGCTGGATGACTTCAGTCCCCACGGTCTCTGACTCAGCATCTCAAGGATCAGGTCTCTAGTCCTACATAAGTTACAAATCTAAACACACAACAGGGTCACCTGATGGAAAGTTAGAAGTAGTTCAACTCTCTAAGTTACCACTATAGATGCTGTTTTTCAAAAATAGGAAATTTAAAGCAGCAAAATAAGTGCCAGAAACTTGAGATCTCAAGGGAATATGAATTCACAAGACTAGACCAACTCTGCCGTATGCAACTACGAAGATATGGAAGATCGTATCTTACTATCAAGTAGAGTTCAAATTGCCGTAATACAGAAAGTCAAAGAAATGGAGAAAACACAGAAAAGTGAATTAAAGAGAAAAACAAAATTTAGAACAATAAATGACCTGGAAAATAAAATGAGTAAAAAGAAACAGAAATTGAAGTCTTAAATTAAAATCACAGAGATGGGGCTGTAAAAAGATCAACAGAGAAGCTACTCACTCCTGGAGAAGCTATTGGAGCAGAATATGTAATAGGGTGGTCCCCAGGAAAGGGGGAGGTTTCAGGTTCCCTGCCCCACACAAGGGAGGGCGGAGCTGAGCAGGAAGAGAAGAAGCTGCAGAAGAGACTGAGAAAGGAAGCAAGATGGAGCCAGGAGACCTGGAGGAGGCACATGGAGCCTAGAGACATGTGAAGAAACTGCGTTTGTCTTTTGGTCATGGACTGGCTGACACAGATGTGGGTGAGACCCGTGGGGAGGTGACAATAGCAGCTTTTATCTTGATGTTGATTTTGCTCTTTTCCTTCTGGGCTTGTCTGGTTGTTTCTGACCCTTTTCTGTGGGTCCCCACTGGAAGATGCTTTAGACTTGGGGCAGGCTTTGGGGCCTTGCTCTGGGCCAATCCCATATGGATGGACTTTTACCCACGAGGGGACGGGTAACTTTGGGTGCTTCATTTAGAAACTAGACTCTTTGCCTTACCTGTATTGTTTCCTAGTTTTATTAAAGTTCCTTCCCATTAAAGTCTCATATGTTTTGTGTTGATGCGGCGGATGGCAGAACCCATTTAGAACAGGCAGGTTTGCGGGGTTTGGGCTGCCCCTCTCCCTGCCCTATGCCCCTCTCCCTGTCCTATAACAAATAGACCAAATGAAAGATCAAATCAGTGACCTGACAGCAATAATGAACAATGGACCGAATAGGAGAAAAATGAAGAAAAACTGGAAGAACTAACCAAATCTATGAGGCAAGGCAACACAAGCATAATGGATACTCCACAATTTGAAGAGAGAGACAGGAACAGAGATACATTCAAAGAAATATACTAACGTTACATATATACATACACAGAATAAAATAGTACTCACATTTTTTAAAGATTTATTTTTATTTAAGTATGCACACAAGAGCTGAGATATAAGCCAGAAGTGCAGGGAATGAGGGGATTCACCAGAGACAGAGTGGGGAGCAGAACAGGCAGATCTACTGGAACAAACTGCTGAGGGGAGCAACTACAAGACAGGAGAGGTCTGCTACAATATGTGGATCAGCTCCCTGCCAGGGATGAAATTCCTACTGCAGTGGCTGGTGATAACTTGATAATGCTGAGACTTAACCCCTTGTACCACCAGCGAGGCCCACTGATTTTTTTTTTAAATAAGTAAAATAATTCCATTTAAACAACATAGCTGGAACTTGAAGACATTATGCTAAGACAAACGAACAAAGGCAATTCCTGAAGGAGAAGTTCCCAGAGCCCCTGGGCCCCACCCACCCCCACCAGAGGGAGACACAGGACAGGGAGGGACACACTCACCTGGGGCCCCCCTGGGTGGCAGCTGGAGGAGGAGCATCAGGGAGGGGAGGAGGCAGAGCACAGAACTGGGGCAGGAGCAGGGCGCCATCTCCTCAGGGCTGGGGAGAGACAGGGCAGGAGGCAGCCAGGCCCACACAGAGGAGCAGCACAGGCAGGAGCTCTGGACTCAGCGGGGAGCAGGGCCTAGGGACCCCCACCAGCAGGAGCAGGGCCCTTCCTGGTGACCCCTTAGGCCCTGAGACCAAGGAGGACAGACCTGGCTCCTCTCAGGGCTTCTGAGCCTCTGTGCTGCTAGACCGTGAGGTTTATTGGAGAAAAACATGCCCCCTTCCCTTCATACAGTGTGGAATCCACACCCTAGACCCACTTGCTCAGAACACCAGGCCCCTCATTCCCAGCACCTGAGTCTGGGGTGCAAACTGCCCTCCCCTCCCCATCATCACCCAGTTACTCCCAAGGACAGAGGCCCAGACCCAGGTCCCCCAGGAAAAAAAAAACCTCCAGGAGAAGTCTCAGGACACATGACACTGTCCCCAAGGGGTTAGGGTCCCCCCCATAAGCCCCTGTCCTGCTCTGTCTGCTTTTTCAGCTTGCCTGAAGTCCCTTCCTAGCTCTCCTGCCAGGACAAGGACAAGTTCCTGCCCCAAACACAGCAGGAGCCGGGTCAGATACCTACTGAGGGCTTCTACCTCCTCCTCTCTAACTCTGTGGGGATTTCTGCCTCTGGGTTGGCAACCCAGTGAGACAGAGCAGCAGAGAAATGAAATGAGTCCTGCTCAGAGAACAAACCCTCAAACCACATACTGTGGGGGCTGGGGGAGGCAAACATTGGTCCTGAGAGGGCAGATTCTAGGGCTGACTCTGAGGTCATCTCTAGACTCAGCCATTCTCTGTGTGACCATCTCCATCAAGTCTCTTAACCTTCCTGCCTCAATTCCCCCAAAGAAAAATGGAAATAGTATCAGCATCTCCCAAGTAAGTTTGGAATGAGAATTACATGAATTATATTGGAAGAGTCACAACCTAAAATTCGAGAACAGGGTCCTGCCCCAGGAAGTATTAGACACATTATTAAAATAAGTGAAGTACAATCTTCAGTGAGGTTGTACTGGTCCTCTTAGAGCTGGGCCATTACCTGTGCCACCTCCCATCCCACCCAAGCCCCACTACATTCTCAACCCCTCCTTACAGTCAGCTGCTCCCCACTTTTCTTAAAAGAAACATGTCTTCAAAACTGACATACCTGCTTTGAAATGGTGGGGCTTCTAGGGCGTCCCTTCGAACTTGAGAAGTTTCAGTGCTTCCCCAAATCTTCTTACAGAGTTAACACCTGCTGTTAGCTGCTAAGGAGTCCTGCTGGGTGCCAAGGAGGCCTCATGGCTCAGAGAAGATGTCTGCCAAGAGAGTAGACAGGCAGACTTAGGCATTCATTGAGGGGTGTCTCACCAGGGGTGGGATCCTGAGGATCCTCCAAATTTTCTCTTAAAAATGCATTCACCCTTCTCTGGCTCCTACACGATCTGAAAGTGAAAGCCTGAAATGCAATCCCAGCAGCCTCCACCCTGCCCTCTTGACAGTGCACTCGAGGGAGCACTTCCTTCCTGTTTCAGGAAGGAAACAGCATATCAGATGGGTCAGCAGAGGGGTGGGGCAGGCACCCTCACAGCCCTGCAGACACAGGGATGTGCCCACCCAGCACCCACTATTGAGAACCCACTGTGCTCCAAGCCGCTTGGCTTCCAGACCCAGAACGAGGAGTGAGTGTGGGGCCCAGTCAGTACTGACACTGAGCCCCTTGCAGGGCTCAGCCTGAGCCAGAGGGTGACTGCCCCGGTGACCCCAGGTCAGTCGTCACCACACTTGGCAGAGCCTGTGAGGAGCCCCAGGGGGTCCGTTTTCCTTCCAAGGTCATGACCCACTCCAGTCAGCTCATATCATCTCCCTGTCTCACCCCTTCTGCTTAAAGGAGGGTCTCCCTGGCCTCCCCTTCCTTCTCTGAGCCCCTCCCATTGCTCTCTTAAGGGCCCCCTCTGGCTCAGGTGACTCCTCCAAGTCAGGGAGCTCTCCCAGCCTCAGACCTCCTCAGTCACTGATGCTCCTGCTGCCTCTTCGCCCCAAACCCTCACCTCTCAGGCCACATCTGAACTGACCTACTCAGAGGGGCCTCTGCCAACCTCCTGATCCCACCTATGCACCCCACACCTGCTTATTGGGTTTGGGGGCCTGTCTTTCACCACAGCCCTGACGTGTATCATTTGGGAATCATGTGGGATCCCGGGGGGAGCCCCAGTGAGTCCTGCTCCGTGTCCAGCAGGGAGGGACCTCACCAGCCTCAGCTGAGCTCATCTACAGAGGAGACACTGCTGCTGCCCATGGGCTTCTCAGCTTCATCCACTCTGACAACTCCTTAGTCCACTGAGAACATGAGACTTCACCTCTGACCTGAGCACCAGCCTCTGATAGACACAGTGTCCACCATGCTCCCCTGTCTGCTATTCTATCCCCCCAAATATAAATGGGTCACTAATCACATCTCACTGAGTTGGAATCATTCAGGGCAGCACCTGTTTCTGCCCCCAGACAGCACCAAAAGGGGCACAGGAGAGTCATGCTTCATTGAACAAGAGGTAGGTGGAGAGAGACACCTGGAGGCTGTGGTCAGGGTGGGGGAGGCTGCAGCACACACTGTGGTGGTCACTCAACCAGGCACATGACCCTGGGCAGGGAGAACTAACAGTGAGGGACTCACAGCTCTGACTGGGCATTCCCAGCTAACAAGGCCCCCAGTGAAGAAACAAGGCACAGAGCTGGACGCAACCCCACATCCCCTCAGGACTGGCCCCGCCCTCCTGAAGCTCAGGGACAGTGTGCACAGGGCAGTGTCTCAGGACTGAACTAAGAGAGGCCGCGTCAGGTGTGCCACAAACATGAGCTCTCACGCCCCAGCCAGAGCACCCACACCAGAAGCTGCATGCCCCACAGTCTCTGACTCAGCATCTCAAGGATCAGGTCTCTAGTCCTGCATAAGTTTCAAAAATTGGACATTTAAAGCAGCAAAATAAGCCCCAGAAACATGCCCAGAAACTTGAGGCCTCAAGGGAACATGAAATCACAAGAAGAGAACAACTCTCCAATACACAACTACAAGCTGTGGAGGATCATATCTATCAAGTGGAGGTTCAGCATTGCCATCACAAAGAAAGCCAAAGAGATGGAGAAAACATAGAAAAGTGAATCAAAGAGATAAAACAAAATTGAGAATAATAAATGTATGTCTTGGAAAATAAAATCAGGGAACGGAAAATAGAAATTGAAGCCTTAAATGAACATCACAGAGACGGAGCCTCTAAAAGGTCAACAGAGAAGCTACTCGCTCCTGTATAAGTTACTGGAGCAGGAAAAACCAAATAGAAGATTAAGTCAGTGACATCTAATAATAATGAACAATGGACCGAATTAGAAGAAAAAAGAGAAAAATGAGGAAAAAAACGGAAGAACTAAATAATCTATGAGGAAAGTCAACATAAGAATAATGGATACACCACAATTTGAAGAGGGAAAGACAGAACAGGGTATATTCAAAGAAATAGTAAAATTACATATATATACACACATGATGAAATGACACTCAGATTTTTTTTAAAGCTTTATTTTGATTTATGCATATAAGAATTGTGGTGTAGACCAGGGAGGGTGAAAAGATTCACCAGAGAGAGAGTGAGGAGCAGAGCAGGCAGATCTACTGAAATACACTGCTGAGGGGAGCAGTGGGCAAGACAGGAAAGGTCTGCTGTGCCATCTGGGTAGCTCCCTGGCCGGGGATCAAACTCATGTTGCAGTGGCTAGTGATAGCTTGACAAAGCTGAGACTTAGCCACTTGAGTCAACAGGGAGGCCCTCAGATATTTTTTTAAATAAGTAAAATCATGCCATTTAAAATAACATGGATGGAACTTGAGGACATTATGCTAACTCAAATGAGCAAAGACAATTCCTGAAAGAGGAGCTCCCAGAGACCCTGGGCCCCACCCACCCAAGGGAGACACAGGGACAGAGAGGGACACACTCACCTGGGGACCCCCCCGGGAGCAGCTGGAGGAGGAGCAGCAGGGAGGGGAGGAGGCAGAGCACAGAGCTGGGGGCAGGAGCAGGGCGCCATCTCCTCAGGGCTGGGGAGAGACAGGGCAGGAGGCAGCCAGGCCCACACAGAGGAGCAGGGCAGCCAGGAGCTCTGGGCTCAGGGGGGAGCAGGGCCCTGGTGACTCCACAGGCCCTGGGACCAAGAAGGACAGACCTGGCTTCTTTCAAGGTTAGGGGCTAGGAGCAGGTAGGCCATGTTTCAGGAAGGACAGGCATTACAGGCTGACTCTGAGGTCACTGCTGGAATTGGCCACTCTGTGTGACCATCTTCATCAAGCCTAACCTTCCTGCCTCACTTTCCCCACCAGAAAAATGGGAATAGTATCAGCATCTCCCAACCAAGATTGGAAGGAGAATTACCTGAATTGTATTTGAAGAGTCACTACCTATAATTCTAGAATAGCATCCTGCCCCAGGAGTGTTACAGACTGCGGAAGACCAGCCTCAGCAAACTGGGTGTCAGGGGTTCCTGAAGGATGGGACGGCGTCTGCGCAATTGAGGAATTGATCAGGCACACGCAATGTCTTGTGTTAGTATGTCTGACCCCAAAAGTCTCAGCAAGTCTTTATTTATTCATTTTTAGCAAGCAGTGAGATTACATCATCATATGCATAGAGCAAAGCAGAAGCAATCAGTGCCTTCTTTTCCCATAGACTTTTGGCTGCTATGTGCTCTCAGCAAGAAGGCAACCTTCAAGGTTAATGGATAAAAAACTAAAACCTTACACTAAAACTTATTATTTCAGCTAGACAATTACCTAAGACAGTTGATAGCTGCCACTACACCCTTTTCAGCTAAAGCCTAAGCATCAAAAGACTCTTCCATGCAGATGGCCTTCAGCCAGAGACCAGCTACTTCTCAGCTTTCAGAACTTTTTCTACCTAGAAACTCCTTAACATTTAAAAACTTTCCTAAGAAACTTCTAAAAAAGCAAAAGTAGGACTTACTATAATTGTTGTGCTGGATTACTTTTCAGGCATGTACAATAAATTGTCTCCCATTGTCAAGTGGGCCAAATTGTTTAACTTCTAAACAGATAATTTTCTGTGCCATTTACTTGCAGTATGAAGATATATATAATTTATTGCCTCATGTACTTTCTGGGAAATTTATTCTCTCTTTATGACCAGGAACAAAAAACAAAAGGATGTAAAACTTCAGCCCCACGGTGTGAGGCACAAGGTATCTTCGGCCCCACGGTGTGAGGCCCTTTTTCTTCGCTGCTTGCCAGTGTCTTATCTGACTGGGGCATAAGGCCCCCTGCAGCAACAGACACATTACTAAAATAAGTGAAGTACAACCATCAATGAGTTGTGCTGGGTCCTCTTAGAGCTGCACCATGTCCAGGGCCACCTCCCATCCCACCCAGACTCACCACATTCTCAGCCCCTCCTTACAGTCAGCTGCTCCCCACTTCCTTCTTCTTAAAAGAAGCATGTCTAAATATTGACATACCTGCTTAGAAATGGTGGGGCTTCTAAGGCGTCCCTTCAAGCTTGAGAGTTTCAGTGTTCCCAGCAGATCCCAAATCTTTACACAGAGTTTGCACCTGCTGTTAGCTGCTCAGGAGCCAGGCTGGGTGCCAAGGGGGCCTCATGGCTTGGAGAAAATGGTTCCAAGGGGGTAGACAAGCAGAATCTAGCACAAGTTGAGGGGTGTCTACAGAGGCCAGCCCACGGTTCCTCACAAATTTCTCACAGAAAAACAAATCACCCGTCTCAGGCTCCTTCCACTAACTGAAAGTGAAAGCTGAAGTGCAATTCCAGGTGCCACCCTGCCCTCTGGACAGTGCACCCCAGTTATCAGCAGGGAAAGAGCAGGATCAGAGGAGCCAGCACAGGGGAGAGATAGGCACCCTGACACCACTGGAGGCACAGGGGAGGCATCCACCCAGCACCCACTATTGAGCACCCACTGCACTCCAGGCTGCTTGGCTCCGAGACCCAGAACTAGTGGTGAGTGTGGGGCCCAGTCGGGACTGACACTGAGCCCCATGCAGGGCTCTGCCTGTGCCCAATGGTGACCATCCCAGTGAACCTATGCCAGCTGTCACCCCACATGGCAGAGCCTGTGAGGAGCCCTCAGGGGACCTGTTTCTCTACTCCTCACAGCAGCTGACCCATGAGCCCCACACCCTGGACACCAGGAGTCAGCACTGGGCACCAGGAGCTGCCAGGACCTGGTCCTGCCCGCACTGCGTGGACGGGGCCTGTGGCTTGTTCAGATGTTAATGTCACCTGAGTCCTGGTAACAGTGACTAGATCCTGTCCCACCAGGAAACGGGGCCATCAGGAAGGCCCGATTCTGTGTCTCCATGGAAACCAGGGAGCCTGGGACTCCCCACCCTTCTCACTTCCTGTGGTTTCCCCTTCTCAGTGAAGGGCACC